TACTCTTTTCAGAACCACACATGCTCAGAAAGAGATATCCTTACACGGTGCAACCGCAAACCTCTATACTTCCTTGCTGCCATCAAAGTGGCATCAGGAAGCTGTATTTTCTCTGTATATTTCCTGTCAGTGATAGGTATGAAATTTGTTCTGATTTCAGGATTTTTCTTAATCAGGGTTTTCCTGCCTTTGAAGATTTTTCAAACAATTTCTTTCAAAAAGTTCTCATCAGAAAACAAGAGGTTGGTATTTTAAAGGGTGCATTTAGTCAAACACAGCTGTAAACCATAGATCCTGCACTGCTGTGTGGCCCTCAAAACTTCTGGTGCTTATTATAACATCCACCTGCTAGGTCCACCAGCTGCAACAGATGTGCCCTCAACCTGGGTTCTTGGGAACCAAAGGGTTCAGGATCGACCCCCGACGCCAAGATGCGGTTGCTGCACTTGGAATCTTTCTCCTGGAGTCTGGCATGAAGGTATGATTTCCCATCCAAATAAATCTTGTCAACATGCAAACTGCATCTGTCAAGGACTGGGTATATGCGATGGCCACACAAGACCCCCACTCCTTCCCCCCTCCCCCCAAAAAAGAAAATTCCAGCATCTTGCTTTTAGGAAAGAAATATCAGTGGATACATTACCCTGAACTACATTTACATATTGTACAAGGCTCGCTTGTTTTTTTCTGGCACAGCCAATGAACATGCACAGTGAACAGTTTAGCGGCTTAGAAATTTTACCCCCAAAAAATTGTTACTGAAATTTTTTTGTCTGGTTCCGTGCTCAATTGTACTTGCAAGTTCATAGTCAGGAGATGGAATTCAGACCTACATGTATCACAATTTCGGACTTTCTGCCCTCGAAGAAAAATCCTTCAGATCACAAAAAGAAGAGTGAGATATCCTGCAAGTTAACTGAAGATGTTAATAATTCAAACCCTTTGGCAACTTCAGGGAGGAGGAAAAAACATTTTGCCAAACACCTTTTGCCAGGCAGTCACCTACTTTGACTGGGGAATTGAGCCAATTATTGATAACATTAAATGTGTAACAGCAAAATAAAGTCTTTGTCCAAAAAAAAAAGGAGATCAGAAGCCACTTTAGACCCCGGTAAAAAATAAAACAATTTTTCTTTTTCTCCTTGCACATTTCCATTTTCTCTGTCTGCCTCCTTTTCTCACCTCTTGGTCTCATTTATTTGTTATTTTCTCATTATTTGTCACACAGCCATTTTGTATATTTAGTCATTTCTGTGAATGGTTCTGACAGTTCTTTTTTTCCAACTTTGCCCACAGTTCAAGGACAAACTTGTCCCGTATCTGATAGAACTGATGAGAGGACTGTCATCAGCCCAGTGGCAGGAACAGGCTGGATACAGAGCGAAAGAAAGTAAGTCGGGTCGGTAGTCAGACGTACCATGGAGTTCAAAGTCCTTGAATATTCTTGTTATATTCTTGTTATTCTTGCTATATTTAAATGTTCCTTTTAATTCAATTGTTGATTGAGTTTGATATAAGTATAAGTATTTTGAGGTCTTGCAGAAAGATTTCAGGTGTCAAATTTTTTTGGCAAAAGTCTAAGTATGTAGAAACTAGCCTGTGCTTCAAAACTCATTCAGATATGGCCAAACAAAAAAATAGCTGTGTTTCTGGTTACTCGGCCCAACTTAGAAAATCATGCGGAAGCTACATCTTTGTATTCAACAAACCAATACAATATAAAAACTTATGGTGCCTTGCCCAGAGCCTAATTTTGTGTACAACATCCTGTACATTGTAAATTATTTTAATTTTTTTTGCATGAGATGGACGGCTCTTGTGTGTTTGTATTTCAATAACCAGCTGCTTTACTACTCAATCACAGTGCTGATATGTAATATTGACGTGCACATGTACAGTATGAATCTGACACTGACTTAGTACCGGTACCTATTACAAATATACATGTACATGTACGCACCCTCTCCCCAGAAATACAGACCATCGTCTGACCCTAATTTTTTGGGCTATAAATATTTAGAGTAAAAAAGAATTTTACCCATCCAACCACCCTAATTCATTTTTCAGTGTAACAAGAAACACAACTAATTTTAATTTGGCCTAAATAGAAGCACTGTTTACTGAAAAGAAATCTTGTTTTAATGAGAAGATTTTACAGTTAGTTAGAAAAACCTGGTTTGCAGAAACGGGGATGCAGTCTGAAAAAAAGATGGGCTTTTATCGACTGGACTTGCCACAGTTTTTAGATCACTCTGTGGAGAAGACAAATGGTGGAAGATCTAACAGAGCTTTTGTAACATCTTCATTTGATCTGGCCGCTTAGTTATATGTGCCTGATGGACAGATTGCTGCTTTGTTTCTGCTTCGTCTGTTGTGTTTGCCCTTTGTTCAATTTGGAAATTAATTGTTCCCACAGGTCTGCCCATGAGCGAGAACTACGCTTTCTGCCTGACCACGCTGCTGTCGGACATCGCTGTCAGGGAACTGGCTTTCAGAGAACAGGTAGGTCAGAATTTAGGCGTGTTTGTTTGTCCGCCTGTCCGTCTAGCTGTGCATGGGTAGTTTTGTGGACATTGAATAGTCCCAGGTTATATGAAATGATTTCACAGTTAAGTTTGGCTGGTTGCGTTCTCGTAGCTACAGTAGGTAGAAATGGCATTTTATGGGTATGTATTCACGGATGAAATTTTGCCCTTGTATGTTCAAGTTTGTCTTTGAGAATCTTTTTAAATCATGCATTTATGTATTTGCAAATGTGGTGAACCCATCATTGTTAGTGGGTTCAAAATTGAAAAACTGTTTTGTTGGTGTTTATTACTAGCTATTTTCTGCCACCGCGGAAAATGGACGGAATTCGCGGAATCAACGGAAATCACTGCTGGAAACGGAACTTTCAAAATTTCCCACTTAGAATGGCTTCTAAAGTAAGGAAAACATTCCGCAAAGAACCATAAATAAATGCCTTCCAAACCCTTTTAAAGTGCTTGCTTTTAATGAACGATTTATGCTGGAAACATGCTAAATTGCACCACTCTACCACATGATTGGGTCGTCCGCTCCGCGTCGGTGCCGATACTTGCAAGCACTGTGGCATGCATGAGCCTCAAGCGTGCAGTGGCAGCCGGCATGAGCGCGGTACGGTACACATACACAAGGCACAAACAAGTTTATACTCACACATATGCTTATTGCACACATGGGGAATTCAGTCAGTGAATCTGCATAAATGCCTTGAGATAAGGCTAGTACTGCACGTCGAAACGATGAAACCGCGGCAGCAAAAGGAAAGACTAATTACATATTTTCATGAATTACTAAATGGGTCCTTGGAAGTGTTCGATGAAGAGCAAAGTTTTCAGTCACAAACATGCAGTTTAAGGCTTTATTGTTCACTTTCTGAATTTTGTCACACCATTGGCAAATAAAAATGGCAGATCGATGTCCAACATTAACATATCGTGATCAAGGACTGCATGGGAGACATACATGTACTGTATGACTTCACTTTACATGTACACTGTACATGTATTTAAATGTAATTTGATTTTATACATGCGGAGTGACATATGAATGGTATGTTGATTAATCGTAGTAAGTTTTTGACGATCCTTCCAGTGGGAAATCAAGGGATGGGGGATGGCGTATTTATTGGCCTACAGAAATATAAAAAAAAGTTGGGAACGTTGCAGAGTATTTCCAAACAATATTTGTTTCTTTTCTTTTTTCTTCCTTTTTTGGGGGGGTATGGTTGGGCAAATGGTTTCCATGCATAGTTGAAAACTTGCTCCCCTTTTCATGCTAAGGTATGACACGGAATTTGAATTTCTTAAGTGGAATTGGGGATTTGGCAAAACAGAAAACACCCATTTTTGAAACAGAAAATCATAAACATGCACACCAACACACAGCAGTTTGTGTGCGTTTAGTGTGCAGTGTTGTGGACGAGTACATCACAAGTTCCATCACAAGTCCAGTAACAAGTCCTTTCGCTACCCCCAGAACTGTGGGGTCTGACGTCCGCCCCGCTTCTGTTCGTGGGAGCGGGGTGGACGTTGGACCCCCCAGTTCTGGGGGTATCCCCTCGCAAGACTAGTCCAAAGTTGCATGCTGAACAGTGACAAAGGAATGTGCTTGTCCTACGTTTTTACGTTTGTTTACGTTTAATTTGAAAAACGTTGAGAAAACTTTCCCATACCATTAATAAACATTTAAACGTTTAGCTGTTGCCTACCTTGATGATTTCATATCCTGTTGTACATGGTGATGTGATGTTGGGGCATTTAAAACAAGAAGTTTTATTATTTTATAATCCACTTCCCCCCCCCAAAAAAAAGGATGCCGGAAAGGAAAATTGCTCCGAGAATCAGATCACCGGTATGTTTTACAGGCATCATTTACACTAAAAATAAACGTCAGGTTGCGTCAATCAAAACATCTAACCTCTGAAAGGGGCGGTTCCGTTTAAATGTTTGAGAAAAATCATCTTGAATGCAACACTGGTACACTTCAACTGTAACTCTCTAAAAAAATTTTGGTTTTCAAGAACCTCCTTTACAAGGATCGTGTAAAAATCCTCAGACACCTCCTGACTTCTCTCCTCTCCAGCAAAACTTTATGTGGAAGAGTCCTTAACCCCCAGCAGCCGATTTCATGAAACTTTTAGCAGTGGCGTAATTCTTCTTACATGTAAAACATTTCATTATGTGATTTTGTCAACAAATTTCACAAAACCTATTTCACGAAACTTAGGCACTGCATAAGTCTTTGAATTAAGCAACAAATTGTGGTGTAACTTATGCAGTCCTTTTAGGTGGCATTAGTTGTGCCAAATGAAGTGAAAATGAATGTTTCGACAAACTTATTGTGTTCCGTTAAGCCTCATCATTGCTGAACTTAACAAAGCTTGTACGACAAAACGCAATGCTTTATTGTAGAACGTAATGAAAAACTTGTTTGGCTGTGAGACGACTGCGAGATTTTCCGTCCAGCTGCCATAGAGAAAAAGAAAACTGTTTCAAAATGGCAGGCAGAGGAGATTCAACGACTGTTTGATGACTGTTGCTATATTGGAAAGGAACAGCCATTGTATAAAGCATTTATTTCCTCATCCAAGAAATTTAATCCTGTTAAAACGTAGCGCAGCTACACAACCTTTCATGAAATCAAACGTAAATATATTGTGTAGCCACGGCATAAATTTGTGGAGCAAGGCTTACGCGTTGGTCAGAGTTGCACCACGTTTTGTGAAATCGGCTGCAGGTCTGTCACTCAGAATGGGTAGAGCAACTGATCCAAAGCACACTTTTCTACAGAATTGAAACTAAACCACCAAACCTAGACATTATGCTTGAAGTGGACAAGTTTTACATAGAATTGACACGATGGCTTAAATTAACCCTGTGATCTTTGCCATACCAATATAGGTATATGTGTATACTTGTAATTTTTCTTCCATGCCATAATATCGGCAAACAAGGGGTGAAAAATCTGATCTCATATTCTTTTGTTTGGCGTGTATCCCTTCCAATTGGAATAAGACAATTCGTACATTTAACGACATATGAAATTTACCCGCAAGTATATGTACATGTTCGCATCATGCAATATAGCAACACTTATAACTGTGATGTGTAATGAGAAACGTAATGTATAAATATTTGTGGCTTCTGTATTGGTATTGTAAAATATGTGTAAATATTTCCTGCCTGGTAATTTGCATTCCAATGTACATGTAGTGGTACTTATACAATGCATAAAATGGATATCTGAGGTGGGAACATTGTAAAACAGAACGTTTGTTTAAACATTTACAGAAACGCAGATTAAAAGGAGTCTGATTTGAAACAGGAGTCATGGACTGACTGTGTATTTGTACATACATGTAGACATGTACATAACCAGTGCCCGTGTGATTTAAATTGCAGCCTGTGTGAGTGATTGCCGATTTATTACCGTGCATTCTAACCTGTCTGGTCGCCCATGGGTCGGATGCATCCATGAACAGTGTGCACCACTATTCGGCTTATTGTGTTGGCTCCATGCCAGGTTGCCAATCGCTCCTCCAATCAATACAGTTACATATTTACGTTGCATTCTGCGATCCACACATAATCATTTTGTGCCATGAAAATTTTTTTCAGGGGTTGGGGAGAGATAAAAATGTGAGGCTTGCTTTCCTGTTTGGGAACATAAAAAGATGCAGGATGCAGGGGCTTCCAAAAATGTATGTACATGTAAATGGGTGTGAATTTGTATTTTGGGTGTAGAATTATTTTTATGCGTGGTAAACTTCAGAGTGTTTTTCTGAACATTCATTTAATTTGCTCCATTGTTTCATATTTGATGAAATGTGGTCATTTGTACATGTGCTAATTTACTCTCAATTTAATTGATGTTTTTTAAATTTTTCCCTTTTTTTGTTGCATTTTTTTTAAAAAGTCAAACGTTACCAGTTACAAAAATCTGTTGTCCTTTAAATACTTTTTTGTTAAGTTGTTGAACAACTTGGTAATGCCGCCTATGAATCCCTGGTCCCTGACCAAAGCACTTTCTACCGGTAATTTGACTTTTGCGCCGGAAGCATTCTTGTCCCCAGTAGATTGCTCAGCAATATAAGAGGCCAAAAAGGAATTAACCCAGCTAGTTTAGATCTGGTTTTAAGTCACACTTCATGGTCTTTCTAGCAATCAAACATGCATCAGACCAATTACCAGGCAGTCAGCTGTGGTCATACCGGCACACAGCCTAATGAAATAAAATTGCTCGTGCACGACAGCCACGGCTAAAGAGACTCTAATGTTCCGTGGCATTTTCCCCAGGATTATTTATCCGGGGTTTTCCTCTCACCTCTAAAACTGAACATTTCTTCAATGCCCTCTTAACAATCGTCACTCTATTGTGCGATTGGCAATTAATGTGCTCTTGGATAAACAGAGATATAAATAAAATCAGTAAAAATCTCGGACCCAGCGATTGCGTTGTCTTCCTGCAAGACTGAAAAAAGAATGGTGTAGATTTTTTAAAGTGTTTGCGGGTAAGAATTGGAAAAATAATCAGGGATAGAACAAGAATATCAAACACATGTCATTATAGCATTGCGTCTTCAAAGTGGCATTATCATAAATCATTGTTTGTTAGATACGATATGTAAAATGCTGCAAAATAGTTTCAACTTTGAAGCAAGTCTTCTTGTAATTATGTATCATAAACCAAAAGCGTAGAAATCTCTTGTTAACTCGGCAGAGTCATTGTCACACCCGATAAAAAAATTCCTACAAATGATGCCTGTTTCCTCCACAACAACTAGGCAAGAACATTACATATGTGACTGGCTCTAGAAAAATGGGTACTTAGGCACCAGACTCAGGTTATGAGGTTTTGATATGGCTGGATTCTGTACATCAAAAGCTACAGTTTGATATATAAATGTAAATGACCCCTGTAGTGCACTGTGTTCTGTAGACATGTATATCCACATTTTCAGATTCAGTAAAATCACTTTTGGAGAAAAAGCTCATAAAGTGTAGCACTTGGAAACACAGTGATACAGTATGTAGGATTTCCTACTGAATTATTAATTTTTCATCTTTATTCATTAGTATCCGTGTTTGTAGTCACAAATTCTGAAAATATAAATATTATAGAAGTTATTAAAGGAAAAATCACAAAATGACATTTTTGAAGAAATTCTGCCCTCTCCAAATAGAACAGGATATTATGTGTTGTGGCATCGTGTGACTTTATACCCTTTTTTGCAGAGTTGGCCACATATATTATTAAACGCTGTGTGTTTAACCATGGTGATTGTTGGCGTAAATTTCTATCATGATATATGTTAGTGGAAATTGTCATGTTTAACTGTAAATTATACTCTTTGCTGTAATCTGCAAAGAGTGAAACTGGAATCCTGTCCGGTCCTTCAAAACCCATTGGGAGGCTTAAGAGGATTTTGCAGGATTAGGGAAGGTACACATCAGTCACTATTACTTTATGTGGGCTTGGTGGCTCTGGAAGGTTGAAGTACAAAGAATGTGCCTCTGGCTTCCTGCACAGTAAAGGATTTTGTAGGATTGTGGAAGGTAGAGCCCAGCCACTGTTACTTTACATGGGGTTTGATGGCCCTTGAGAGTTGAAGCACTAAGAATGTACCATTGGTTTCCTGCACAGTAAAGGATTTTGTAGGATTGGGGAAGGTAGAGCCCAGCCACTGTTACTTTACATGGGGTTTGATGGCCCTTAAAAGTTGACGTACAAAGAATGTGCCATTGGTTACTTACACACTGGAGGATTTTATAGGATTGGGGAAGGTTTCTTTTGAAGTGCTTTGGGAATATTTAAGGGTTAATGAGCAGCACTCAGCCACACTGCACTGAGTCAAAACTTTCCACTCCATGTTATAGATTCTTGCAGCCCAGCTGGACACCTTCCAAGCCCTAGCGCGACAATGTTACCAACTCGGAGAGCCAACGCAAGGTAGTTAACATGCAAAGACGGTGCACAGACTTGTTCTGTTGTGTCATTTGGTTGGCCACGGAATGCCTCCCTTTCAAGATCCGTTCACAAAATGGTATCTGTTCAAATCAAAAAAATAATCAAAAAATAACAAAGAAACAAAACCAAAGGGAAAAGAAAATAAAAAGGGTTGAGTCCTTGTCAGTTTGGCTCCGATTATTCGTTGTGTTGTCTTTGATCTTGCAAGGATTCAAGCATGAGGCACTGGACCTTTTTCCCAAATGAAAACAAAGGAGTTGTACAAAGATGAACAAAGTTTAGGCATGATTAATACCTGCGATGTCTGGAACAGCACTCTACCAACTTCAGCTTCTTGGCTCTGTATTGGGAGCTCCTTCCATTTCTTAACACCTTTAATGTTCAGAGGCAAAAGTTTGCTTATTTTAACATCTACATCTGTCTCTCACACTTATTTCTTCAATGAAGCTCTTGTTTATTGCAATGTTGGTAAGGCTTTCTTTACTATCTGCACCCTTAGGTTCGACATGCCACCTTATCGTACCAGCTCTCTTTGGAATGGCCCGCGCCATTGGCCGTTCAAGCTACACCGATGTCCCCCTCCTGTGCCAGCTGTTCCCCCCGCCCACTCGCAAGCCTCATAAGCAGACACCGGCGGCTGATCACCAACGCAAGAAGAAGCCGCCTCCCCCGACCTACAGCACCTTCCGTCCTATCATCTCGCCAACCATGAGGCGTTACTTCCCCACTGTGGGAGGGGACCCTGGTCAGTCCCATCGGGCGTCGGACACGACGGATGGAACGGGCCCCAGCAACCTGAGAGTTCAACGGTCGGGTGAGTCGGACAGTGAGAAGCTGTACGGGTTCGATCCCAGCCAGGAGCTGCTCTACGTTGTGGCATCGTCATTTCTCCTGCCGGCCGCTGTCAGGGATCAGTTGACAGACAGACGGAAAAATCCATTGGAGTTCAGGACTGAACAGTTGCAGATTATCCTGAAAGTGGTAAGTACTTGACCCTTTATGTAATGAAACCTGTTAAGCTGATCAAATGTGGTTATCCTTCACACAACTTGCAATCGTAAAGTGATTGCTTGATCGCAATAAAACCTTTCAATTTTAAGCTTTAATATCCAAATTTGACATCTTGCAGCTCGGTAAATTTTCATCTCCAAAGGCTTCAAGATATAAGGCTGCTGCTGCATCTTATGTGAATTGTAATGGCCCAACCTAACAAACTGAGTCACAAGTCATCAGAGCTACTTTCAAGTTAAAGGTCTTCAAAGAGTCTTGCACAATGGAAATCAAATCAAAAAATGAGTAATGTACCAAAACAGAGAGCTCAGGCTGTAAGACCCATTTAGTGGGATCCAGTCACAAATATCTTTTATTCAACCTCACATACACTGTACATCTACTTGTCCATGCGTATGTTGGACTGTGAATTGGACCCCTGTGTATCCTGTTTCTACAGGCTAAAATTTTAATCAACAACAAGACACTAGGGGACCTGGACAAGGCAGCCAAGATGTACTGTTCCCTGCCTCGCGCTAGGGACTTCCCTTATCAGTCGTTCAGCGAGACCATCAGCCTGGTGCTGGTGCTGCTGCTGAGACATCTCGTACAGTACAGCGAAGGTAACAAGACGGCAGTGCTACAGATGACATCTGATGCGTCTCTGAACAAAGCCACAGTTTTGGTTTTGTGTTTTTGGCTTCTAATCGTTCATTTGACTTTTTGACACTGAGTGTTGGTTCAGCTTTCTTGTTGTAATGCATCCTACTTAGGGACAGCAAATATTCTGTGCACATCTACCCCATTACTGTTCTGCATTGCATAATTGTTCACTGACTCATGAGTTACATGTTACACATCTAGGCTCAGCTGCATTCCTCTCATCCAAGGCTACAATTTGTGCACATCCAATTGAAAATTCTATTCGTGTGCATTCATTTGGAAATTCAATTTGTGCACATTCAGTCAAAAATTTTGTGTACAGTCAATTAACCCTAACAGTCCCAAATGCTACAAAGTACTACTTAGGAGTAAAATGTAGCACTCAGCCCTGTCGCTTGTAAGAGGACATGACATTATTATTCTCTGAAGCCATAAAATACAATAGAGAAGACAATGTACCATACAGTGCTGTGGCACTATGAATGCATGGCTTTATTGTTCTCTGTACGGGTAACAATGGAATAAACGCAGCCAGAAATAGTAATTTGTAGTGCTAGGTCCTTCAGGCTCAGAGTGTTACTTAGTATTTTGTAGTACTGAGTACTCTAAGCCAAACTATGCCCGGTACTGTTAGGGTTAAAATACAATTTGCAGTTCTTGCCAAGACTTCATGATCATTGTTTAGTACATCTCAACCAAATAATCCTACAAACTCATGGAATCAAAAAATGTATAAACCTAACGAGCCTACTGATGACATACTAAGCCACATACAAAAGCAGTGTCCGTTATTCTGTGATTACGGCTGATAAATAACATGGAGCTGTGGAAGCCGTAAGCAGCCATATCCCATGGACTCCTGTGTTATTGGTACAGTTCCATGACACCCACCTTGCTGATTCATGCGAGTGATTTCTGCTTGGTCTCTGACCCCCAATTTTTCTCCATTTCAATCCCAGAATTACCAGAGGTGCTAATTGACGGCATCCAGTCCTTCGTCCACGAGATGTACGTGGCCGGTCAGACCAAAATTCAGGACAGGAACCTGGAGATGGCCGTGAGGTCCAGCTGCGGATTCAACTCGTTTGAGCTAGCCATCAAAGCCAATGCCACCTGCGTGGACATGCTGGTCTGGGCTGTCAAAGAAGAGCAAGGTATCTCTTGATACGACCTGAGGGGGCATGTGGCCTAGTGGTCAGGCTTTGTAGCTTCCGATCATAGGGTGGAGGGGTTCGAATCCAGCTGGTGGCAGCATGTTGCGATGTTGGGCAAGTCACTTTACCCCAACGTGCCTCTCTTAAACAATGGTAACCTGTGAAGGCAGATACTGTTATGTTTAAAAACCGTGAATAAAAAAAAAATAACGCCACCAGCTCAAACTCTATCTGATTGTCCTGCTAACCAACAGACAGCTAAATACGATCCCAAAACAATATACATCACATGGAGTTTTGGCTGATAACCTGATTTGTCAAGCAAGGTTTTCTGGTGCGTAAGCAAATTTTGTGCTTGTGCAGCTCTATGAAATTGGACCCAGTCCCGTTTTGTATGATTTTATTCTCACATACTATTTCTGCCACACGGGATGGTCGCTTTCAACTTGCGTGGACTTGGAGTTTGAGTTCACCCACATAGGATTCTACGATCTTGGAGTGTACTGATTGTTCAGAGGTGTATTGCACTGTCTATGGGTGAACTCTCTTCTTTGAGAAATGCTTCACTTTTCTGTCTGTTTGGTAGGAGGCGATAGTCTGCTAGGACGGATGAACGAAAAGCTGCAAGCCCCGGAAGGAACCCTCCACCTCCTGGCCCACATCCCGCTGCTCCACTGTTGTCTTGAGGTAAAAATCTTGCTCCTCTCACTTCGGTGGGTTGGCTTGGTTGGGGGGGGGAAGGTGTTTGGAGATTATAGTAGGACAGATTTTTATTTCTGAGTAGAGTCTAGAATATTTCTGTTTTTAACTTCTGTGATGCATGCATTTCACGAAGGAATTTGGGAATTGTCGCTTTAGGGTAGTGCGCATACGTGACCATGCCCCCTAGCTACACTGATTGATTGATTCTCTGTTAGTCCATAAAATAGAAATTCTTCTTCCTTCGGCAAAGGAAAAAAGTGATGTAAAATCCTTATACCATATTTACAATAAAAAAGTTTAGAAATGACAGATTATTAAAATATTGAAAATAATCATTTAAAAGAATAACAAGTTATGCACTATACTCAGTAAATTTATAAGATATTCACCAAAATACCAGTGGTCGTTATGCATGTGGCTACTAACATTCGCATGAAAAGATTGCAACATACAGGTATGTAAATGTTAATCATTGTTGATTGTTGATGCCATATGTCTGAGGTATGGTAAACTGAAAAACAGTAGGTTTATTTTGGTTAGATAGTCAACACTAGCTCTTCTTAGTATTGGAAGCTGGTAAGCTCGTTTCCATAGCTTTGCCTTGGAAAAAATTTGCTAATATTGATCAGTCACCCTTGAGTTAGGTTTCGTGTATTTGTCTGCTGTTGTTTTGTTTTATTTCTCTAGGCACATGGCACGTTGTCAGAGAAGTTCCCCCTCTTAGCCCACCAGTCCATCAGCTCCCTCCGCGACTTCCTTCTCATCCCGTCCCGCATTCTCACCAAGCTGCACAAGTACTACCCGAAGGAGGGCAGCAGATCCTCGCGGGGAGGCCAGAGCAGAGAGCGGCACCACAGCGGGGGGAAAACGGAGCCCACCTGCGCAGCGTTCGCCGAGCTCCGGGACGCAGCGATATACAACCTGTGCAGGTGAGTGTAGGTGAGCGCCGGCGTTGCGGGGATGTGAACCCGGCACCCTCGACTGGCAATTCTGGAGGGCTGGTTTAATTTCGATCAGCGCAAAGCTTGATCCAGTATGGAGATCGACTCTTGTGGATTGAAACCTTTTAACTGATCCCCAAGGTGTAACTGGTGTTGCACGTTATTACAGTCCTCCCAGATCTTTCAAAATCAAATAAGAAGTGTTACACGATTTGGAGGACTAAGGAAGGTGTTACTCTACATGGGATTTTATGCCTCCTGAAATTCATATTGTTACCAGCCCCTCATTTCCTTTACCAGCCTCTCATTTCCTGAGTAAATGTATTTTTTGCTAAAATGTGCTATGAATTATGTATTTTGCCTTATTTGAACAATGTACATCAAATTCTCTCAAAATCATATCAGAATTGAGGCCCCCCAACTTTTTTTAGGTATACTTGTGATTTTTGGAAAATAGAGGGCGCTTTTCATCTTGTCTCATTGACATGTCATTAAAAGTCAATGAGCAAAGTTTCTGTGAAACAATAAAGGTCCAAAGAAAATCTTCCTTTTTCATCTCACAGGTATGTACTTTCCATTTTCTGTTATCAAATAGGGGATCTTCATATATTCAAGTTCATTTAGAGCTCATCATTTGTGTTGGGGATTGTCTGACATTTAAGGATTGAAACGGATTGAAAATGGAGTGAAAGTTGTTTCTCAGACCATGTGACAAGCACATTGTATGTGTTGCACATAGACATTGGGGACAAATAAGCACATTCCTCGAGTGACAGAAGATATTTCCTAGATTCTACATAGATAATGTTAGTAATTTCTATTCATTTAAGACCAGTGTCCCTCTCTGATTGTGGCCAAGTAGAAATGATAAAGCACATGCAGGCCTACAAGAGGTGTGAATTGATGAACGGTTATTTAGATGGATCTTGAGGGTTGGACAGCATGATGTACTTGTAAATGTGTAGTGTTTAGAGTATGGAAACAATCTGGAAATTCCAGATGAATGGACTGAATACGCACATGCACTTAGTGAGAAATGCAGAATTTGGCAGATAAGTTCAGTTGCCACATAAGAATGTGATGCATGAGAATCTATGATGAACGAAGGTGCTCGTGCTTTTTTAGTTTTCTTGAATTACAAGGACTGCTTGTTTTAAATGGATGTACATGTGTTCATGTACGTGTTCAAGATAATGTGTGTACCAGACACGCGATGGAAGTTTAAGAGTTATGCATGTTCATGTTCATGGAAATTGGGTTATCGTTGTTTCCGAGTATTTGACCAGTTATTGACGGACAATTGTCAAGTCAAAGACTCAAGTGTCGTGAGGAAATTCTTTATTCCAGTTCATAGTCATGACCAAGTAAAGAATTGTGTATTGTGAGAGCAGGCATTGGATACATGTACTTATAGGCTATTCAAGGACTAAAGTACAGTACAAGTGATGCTACTGTGTTGGGTCAAATAAATTAATTGTACCTTTTCATGATTTTCCAGTCATTATTGATAATCTGATTTGACATGTCATTAAAGGTCAATGAGCAAAGTTTCTGTGAAATAATAAAGGTCCAAAGAAAATCTTCCTTTTTCATCTCACAGCTCCGAACCTGGTAACAATATTACAAGGAATGTTCTATGGATTCCTATATAGTGACAGATTTTGCAGGATTCGGGAAGGTTCCTATTAAACCTAAGGGTTAAACACATGCTGCCGGGTGGTTTGAAAAATGCAGTGAACACATATGGGCAAATTTCAAGATTTTCAGTTTTCAAAATCTTCAAAAATTCATCATTTCAATTAACCCTAACCCTCCTCAATCCTCCAACAGGTGAAGGATTGAGGAGGGTTAGGGTTAATGGACATTTACACCCACATGAAGTACTGTCTGTTCGCCACTGTAGCCAGACAAAATCTATTGACGCCCGAGTATTTTAGCCAGGCCTGCAGCCTTGTAAAAAAAGCCCAGATTGTGCGGTGTTACATGTATATAACTTTTTTTTGTTCATGAATCTGGCTCAGTGCGCTGCTGACCTCTTTCAATAGGGGCCAGATTATCGTGCATTGGTGCTGTGTGGCTCATTGCTGCGGTGGTGGAGCGCTTTTGTCCCCGGTGGTAATCGGCTCGCACTAAATGCCCAAAACAGTGGCAGGCCTCAAATTTCATTTTTTTTTAGGGCACTGTCATTTGGCATTGGACTGGCTGAAATAAAGGGCATTAATGCCAAACATGAGGGCATTAATGCCATCCCAATTTTTTCTTATCAGTATGAAAATTTTTCAGGTGTAAAGAAAAAGTAGGATACGGACAGAGCACGCCACATTAGACCAAAAAAATGCTCGGACAAAATGTAATAACACAATCAATTTTGTTCTGCTATTACCATCTTTTGATCTGCCATATTATATAAAAGCTAGAGTTGTAACATGCAATGTCTGATGTCAAAATATACCTTTTTCCTGGTCCTACCAGAACCGCACACGCAGCCGCATTGAGCAATCCTTGTTCGGGAGCAGGCCATGAGAATTTTTTTGTTTTGTTTTTTAGTTTGCCCCTTCGGGCAGGCCGTGTCATAAATTTGCTTCTTTTCCTCCATGATTTAACTAAGGCCTACTGCATACGTGCAGTATTTTATTAGGCCAAAGAACATACATTGTGATAGGCCTACATGTAGTTGTGCTGTGCATGCAATGTGCCTCTCAAAAATTGGGTCAGTAGGTTAGAACATTTTTTTGTTTGGGGGCAATTTTGTGCTGATTGAATGGCATCAGTGGGGAGGAAAGCTTCCAAAAGTATCTCAAGAAGTGATGAACACCTGTCTTAATCTAAGTAAAAATTTTTACATATGGCAATACACAAGAAAATTTTGAAAAATTCACACAATCACGACGGCAAACCAGCCAACAATGTCCGTATATGACCTAATGCAGTAATTAGGTAATGGTGTAGGCCATCGCGTGGTAAGCGGACGTGATTCATCTACACCAGCGGGCGCTAAAATGAGCAGAACACCCTCAAATTTCTCATGAACGGAGAAAATACAGACATAAATAAAACCTCCTATCCTGCAACCATGCTGCAACATAACATCGGTGTCTTTCCGGCCTGCAGCCGGCCTTTTGCATTCACAACGCATACGGCCAATGAAGAGTGTTTATGTAGAGTACATGCAGTACATGTACAGTACAGACTGGTACTGGTTGCTACATTTGCATGATGCATTCTTTTGCATGGGTGTGGCGCGGCGGGAACCAGAGCAGCTTCGTTTTATGCATAGAGTTTTGCGCACATGTTTTCACCACTGTGACAGCTCGCAAAGAATTATGGGATGATTTGTGCAAGTGAATACATGCACGGCGGGCATGGTGTTCCAGTCGAATGTGAGCAATCAAGGAACGATGTGTATGCCGCTTTCCGCGTGCCTCGCTGAACAGGGCCAGTCGGTATGCTTGTTTAGGGCACGACGGCCAAGAGAAAAAAAGGGCACTGCCATCTTGGCAGTGAAACGCAATCACTTTTGGGAGGCACCACGGCCAAATGGGAGGGCACGACAGCCATGGCCGTCGTGGCTGTTGTGAAATTTGAGGCCTGCCGTGGTATACTGTTTCAAAACAAGGCTGGATCATCTCCACTATTGAGAGTGAAAAAATGTCGGTAATGCACGGTCTTTGTCACAAGGCCTAGCTCTTTTGTTCTGGTTTTGGGCTCCCCGGCTTTGTGTATAAAGCCTATGTGCTCGAAAATGGGTCCCCTGCAACAAGCGGTTAAGTTAAAAATTCAGTTCTTCTTGATTAGCTGTTTTTGATGTTGAAGAGCCACTTCCAGATTTTGCCCTTAATGCTAAGTTTTCAACTTTGCAAACATGTTCAACCATTCCTCCTTCTGTACAGTACTACACCGTGGCAGTTACAGTGCACAGTATTTGATAGCTGTGACAATCTTACAAACCGAGTCATAAGTAATTTGCTTTAGTCTGCGTTAGAAAGAGCAAATTGAGCTCTGAGGAAATACACATTTTGAAAAAAATATTTGTCTGTTCCTATTGCAAGATTCTTTTAAATGTCTTTAACCTTGAAATGGCTAAATGGCTCTGGTGACTTGTGACTCATTCTGTAAAGTTGGGTCACATTTGCAAGAAAAAGTAGTGAACTACTGCACCATTTTTCAACATATGTCACCAGGTCATTGCAAGCTGGCCTCCAAGAGAACCCCAACTGCGTGCAGGCCTTTCTGGCCTCGGTCTCCAACACCCTGTACCTGACGGAAGCCGGGGCGGAGAAGCTGGCCCTCAAGTCCCACAACGCCGTGCTGACGCTGGGCCACGTGGCCGTAGCGCTGAAGGACATCCCACCCACCATGGAGAGTGTGCAGCAGATCTTCCAGCAACAGTTCTGCAACCCGGCCTCCAAGCTGGATGAGGTGATCGTGGACATGCTTGGGTGCATGCTGCTGACGGGACAGGTAAGTCTGTCAATCTCCTCTGATCCCTCGGCGAGGCGAGTGTTTTAACTTGTCCAAGCTGGACCATGTGAGTTTTCAACTCTGTGATGACATTTAAAAAAGCCAGAGGAGTTGATTCTTGGCTGTTCAATGACCAATCTTGTTTTAATAATAATAATTTATTCATTTATAAAGCCCAAATTTCATATAGACATGTTTAAATGTACTGTACAATGATGACATTAAGCGTAGAATAATGAATACATTTAAACATGGTTGAGCCTATGGCATACAAGGGCTCCTCGGGCAGCTGCCAAATGACCCACATTCACCAACATCAGTAAAGAGGAGACAGTAAGAAGCAGTTACAGTTTTAGAGGTGGGAGGAAAACCCCAGAGGAATATTCTGGGTAAAACCCACGGAGTCAGGTAGGGACTGAAAACCCAATCCACATGTGGACTGGGCCAGGAATTGAACCCGGGACCACAGAGGTGGAAGGCGAGGAAAGAACTACCTTGCCAACCCGACTACCTTGCCAACCCGACTTGTTGAAACTTGGTATGTACGTACATGTATGTAAGGGAATCCATCCTAAATAGATCGGGTCATTTAGGCGGCATCGCGAAATTGACTAACTATTCCGCGCCGCGGACATCCCGCGGGATAACGGAGAGCACGCCAGTCCCTGCCAAACAAAAGACCCCTTGACAACTGGGCGCACCCGCGGACGGAACGCAATGTGCAAGGTTTAAGTAAATTACCAGTCTCATGAATACGCCCTATATTCCGCAGATTCCCAGGTCGGGAAAAAAATTGCTACTAGGCTACTTTCGGCCTGCAATAGACCATGGAAGGAATGGCTTTAATAATTTTGTACCAAACATAAACAACTAATAGCAGCAATATGTTTCTCGTCACTGCAGCGAAACAAAATTCAATCGTCAGCAAACTTGTACGAGCATGCAAAATTCTTGTTCACGCTGCCACTAGATTGCCTCAGATAGTAAAGTCGTCCGAAAACAGTCAGCGAGCGTATCCCATCAACAGCGAAACCACCAATTTTTCCCGAACAGCAGGCACGACGCGGGCGCAGAATTCAATCCCAGTTTTGTGAAGTTTGTTTTACAATTGTTACTGACATTTCAAAATATGATTTATTGTGTGATCATCTGGATTAGTACGTTTATGGTTAAATTTTAGTTCGGATTCGAACGCTTTCGTAGTTTCGTTCTTTTGCCATAAAACAATTCCATCATACATTAAAAACATGGGCACATATGTACATTCAAGTTGCCAAAGGGGCGATTTACGAATAACGGCATTTTGTTATTTGAGATTTTGGAACACCTACTAGTTAGGAATCTTGAAAATGCTATCACAATGTATACGTACAATGAAAGACAAGTTTATAGGCCACCTCGCTCACAAAATCTGGTTGCGTGTGCGCTGGTCTGCCTGGTAAAATCGGCTTCTCTCCGGGGTTGCCTCAAGATTGAGCACGAGTCCTCCTACGATCAATATGCATCCGATCAAACATCCTCTTTTACAGCTATTTAAGCATCATTGGCCTTATGTGGAACATGAAGGCGGAGCTTTTGGAGATTGACGCACATGATATTATCTGAATATACATAAGCATAATCGGATGTAGTGAGAATATATCATTGTTGAGCCGCGGAAATGCCGTACATTGCATCTTCTCTGTTAATTATTAGTGAATTCTCACCACATGTTTTTTTACAATAATCATGTGATGTGGCCCATCGTATGTCCAAACACGCACGCGTGCCGAGGTTTGCTGTGTCAAATTTGTCAAACTTGTTATCTATTTTTCGTGGTGTGTAGGCTTTTTTTATCAAGTTTGGTTTGAAAGTGCCATGTCTGATTATTTTGGTTCAGTTTTTACTGAGGAGCACGACAAGATTACGTAATCAAGCACTTTTAAAACCAGTTTTCTAGCCCCATTTTGTCTTTTACATGTTCAACCTATACTCAGCAAACAGTTGTTTATGGCAGATTTGGGCCACTGTCAAGGAAAAAGCGTGGGAAAGTCATGCAGGCGCACAGCTGTCAGGATATCAGTCTCAATTCCTGGCGTCAGTGATTAGTTTTGTTGAGCACCCTTCCAGGGTTTTGGACTTGCTCAACAGAGTGCTAACCATAAAGAGGACCCATTCTGCACGATTTGCCATTTACATGTAGCACTGGGGTCTTGGAGAAAGACTAAACGATGATCGAGGAAACCACAAAATATTTACAAAAGGCGATCAACGAGATATTGTCTTGGGTCTTGCTCCAGGTGTAGATTGGTCATTTGCAATGTCTGGACCGCCCCAACATTTTCGTGGACCAATCAAGGTGCTGATTTTGGAGCCACATCGCTTAGCAACTGTACCACCATGTCAACATTTGTTCGATTGGGTGTCTCAGTGAATGGCTTTCAAATATTTCCTGATTTCTTTAAAAAGACTGATTTATATCCAATAATGGCAAAATGATGTGAACCACAGGGCAACTATAATAAGGGGTAACAAAAGTCAAGGGACAGACCTACAGAGGAGATAAACTGCAAGTAGGATTTTTTATCTTTGGCTAGCAAAATATTGTCACGGCAGGAAGCGTGGTACCTGCGTTCGTGCCCTCTGTGTCATTTTATAAGAGCTCTGGCCGAGACGATTTGTATATGACTGGTTTTTGTTTTCATGCACACTTTGCAAAACGAACAAAAACTGATACATTTTGATCGAAGAATGCCTATTCCTGTCAATAAAATGCACGAATAATGTATCAGAACTTTTGCCATACTGTATTTGAAGGACGGACATTCTGCGTCCTGCCATCTGTATTCATGAGGTTGGTCATGTTTCATTGCATCCATTGTTGCGAAGACAGGCACACGGCCTGCCCTGCTCATTAACTTAGCTATACAAGAGCGCACACCGCCATCCAATCTGCGGATTCCCGCCCTCCTTGACAACGACGGACTGATCGGCGAGAACGCCAACAAACCGCAGATGAACGCTTAGTTGATTTCATGATATAATACACAATACTAAAGGTCATTTACAGAAAGCAAGGTCTTACAACGATCATGTCAGTTGGAAGAATTACAATTTTGGGCCAATTCATCTTGAAAAAGCAGAGAAATGTTGTTTTTTGTGGTTCTTTTTAATTGTGTTTTATGTTAAAGCAACTTGAGTACTAAAAGCTTGTTTTTTTTACTTTTTTTTGTTGTTATGTTTCTGGTTTTAGTCCGGTATCTACCTGGAAGTGATGAACATGTTTATTCAGATCAGTGTGGAGGCCGGGTCTGCTGCCTATACCCCAGACAGCTCCAATAATTCCCACAGATACAGGTAAGCTCTGTCATCAGATGAAGAAAACAAATTCATGGGGGAATGTTCAAGTTTGACTGGTTCAGTCCAAACCAAACTAGTTCCAAGTTGTCATCACAAGTTTAGAGGTCAGAGAGATTAACCATATGCTGCCGGGTTTAATTTGAAGTTGCATGATGTATACCCGGGGGGGGGGATTTTCAAGATTTTTCCATTTTCAAAATTCTTCAAAAATTCATAACTTCCTTTACTGGTCGTTTACACCCACACGAATGACTGTGGCTACTTTAATCCGACAGACAACATCTATTGATGCCCGATTATTTCAGCCAGGCCTGCTGCCTTGCAAAGAGAGCCCAGACTGTGTGGTGTTATGTAATTTTCTTTTGTTCCTGAAACTGGCCCAGTGCACTGCTTGTGTCTTTTCAAATGCAGACCAGACTAGCGTGCAGCGGTATTGTATCACTCATCCCTGGAGTGCTGGAGCACTTTTGTCCCCGATGGTAATCTGCACGTGCTGAATGCCACAAACAGTGGTATAATCGTTCAAAACAATGATGGATTTCCTCGGCTGTTAACTACTGAAAAAAATGTTGGCAATTCCTAGCAGCTTGGTCTTTTGTTCCAAGGCCCAGCTCTTTTATCCAATTTTGGGCAGCCCTGCAATGTGTATAAATCTAAGGAGTCTGGTTCCAGAAACCCCGGCACCATGTGATTAAAACAATCGAGAATGAGCTAAAACAGTGCCACACTGTGGGTCATGTTCACATGTTCTGATCCCAGCCCTCCGCCCCATCTCTTCCTAGGCATTGCTCGCTGGCAGTCATGAACGCCCTGTCCAACATAGCCGGTTCTTTGCAAGGGGACCAGGAGCAGCAGGAACTGCTGGTCCGTCTATTGGAGCTCTTCGTCCAGCTTGGTCTGGAGGGCCGGCGGGCCAGCGAGCGCTCGTCCTTTGCCATCAAGGCCTCCAGCAGCGCCGGTAACCTGGGCATTCTCATCCCCGTGTTGGCGACGGTAAGTCACGGTCTTTTACTCTTCATCACTTCGTGGTGGTAATTTTGAATCCTTTCTGGTCCACTTATTGATAACGGAAGTTGCGCATTCGTTCATTCTGGTTTATTTAAATTTTCACACTGTACCCGACGTGAAGTCATACGATGTGAAAGTTTGGTTTACAGTAAAAGAAATGGAAAAACAACCACTAATTACAATACTTGAATTACATTAGGGAATCAAAATTATTGATAAAAGACCCGTTTGAAAAGTATTTTACACACCACATAAGATAAAATAATACCAATAAATCGCTGAGAATTGCACAATATGAAAATTCAGCAATTAGTGTTTGGATCA